CATCTCGTGCTGGGTTCCAGGACTGCCAGGGGCGAGGAGATATCCAACACGGCAACATACGCATTTCCTTCGAGGAGATTCTGTACAGTCGCCAGACCAAGCCCAGATGACCTGTGAAACGCGTAACCAATGCATCACAAAGGCTTTTGAGTGATGCTCACCCGCCTGAGACGATGAATGTACGATTCTCGATCTTCATCCACACTTACTGGTATACGTATGGCGTTTGGTAAAAGCGTTAAGGTGTAAAGGAACCACAAGATATTTCGTAACTGGCTTGATCTCCGTGGAGTTTCAATGAACCGGGTTATCAAGAAGAACCTGTGTGTCGCAATGGTAGCCGAAAAAGATACGACTGAATTTCGATCGTATGACACATGCACCGTGTATAACGGCGGCGGTACTCTCTAGTTGCAGAGGCTGCTTCTTTGCCCAGAATACTGTTGAAGTGTACGTCAAGTCCCTGACAATTTGATCAAGGTTCTACCGCCTGTATACCCGATATACCCACGAAAGGCGACATGTCGACCAGCTTGGTAGTGGTTGAAACCACACAGTCGTCATGAGGCATCGCGAGAGTTTTACCTCCGATAGGGCGTTCTCAAGATGAAACGCTTGGCTGTCAGGTCTTTGATCGAATCCTTGATCGAATCCTAATGGCGTCTCAAGAAATGGATCTGCTCGATATAGGTCACCCGGATGGCAGGATTTGTACGAGTTAGTTGCTCAAAGGGCGCAAGCGCCTCCATAAGGACCGACGCAATGAAGAGCTATAATTTGCAACTGGTTGTTGGTGACGGTCATAGTGCGAATCTAGGCCTATATATCACGACGGCGTTTGATACACTCCGCCACCCATCAGGATCATTTTTTTGAACCATCAGCGGCAGCAGATTGTAAGATATTCGGCTTTGAAAGACTGCACATGCATGATTGCAAAAAATAGGTACTAGAGAGATACAGTAATGAGAGAATTGTAGTTGGAGACAACATGCACTTACTTTACAACTTTGCTGGTAACCTGCCCGCCCCACTAAGCCTGATCGTCTCACCATTAACATATGCACAATCTATAATCCACCTCACAGTCCTCGCGAACTCCGCGGGTTGGCCGAATCGCTGGGGGTATACGATGCCGTCCTTCTCAAGACTGCGCTGTGTTTTTGCAGGCATGCGTGCAGTCATACTGCTTGCAAAAACACCAGGAGCGATCGTCAGGACGCGGACGTGGTGCCGCGCAAGGTCACGTGCCATTGGAAGGGTCATGGAACGCAAGGCACCCTTGGAAGCAGAATAAGCGGTTTGGCCAGGTTGGCCCTCATACTATACGGCATGCAAGATGGAATCAGATGTTTTAGAGCATTTGGAACAGAAGAAAAAGCGCACAGCAGCCGCACTAGAAACGAAAATCACCACCCCACGCTCGCCATCCGGCGTGTCCTCTGGCTTGACCTTCACAAGATGCGGCAGCGCCAGCCTTGTGAGGTTGAACGACCCGGTCAAGTTGACCGCTATGGCAAAATCCCACAGATCCAAATCATGCGGTTCATTGGACGCATTAAGGATTTTTGCAGCGGTTCCTACACCTGCGCAGTTGATGACGCCGCCGAGAGGTGCATGGGTTTCCCCAGTCCATTGGACAGTTGCGTCGACTGCTTCCTGAATCTGCTTTACGTCAGTGATGTCTGTTTGAAGATAGCGCGTGCGTGAGGCGGGAAGAGAAGCGGATTCCGGTGGTGGAGACCGGTCGACAATGGAGACGTGTGCATTTGCGGCTAGGAGGTCGAGCACGGTGGCCAAGCCCAGACCAGAGGAGCTTACAGAGGTGAGGGCGTGTGAAAGGTAGAGGCACGCGTCACTCACCCGCCAGAAACGATAAATGTGCGATTGGCGATCTTCATTGGAGGTTTCAGAGGTCGTTCGCTTGGGACACCTTATTGATATCAAATAACTTTATTCCATCTGATTGACCCGGTCCGAATTGCCTCCGGTGGATATGCAATCTCGACAAATCCTCAACTCGTGCCAATACTTCTCTCGAAACAGTGAAAGGCGATGGAATTGAGTACGAGCTACATTATGTAATTGGTCATAAGAAGAGAAAAAAGGATGACATCCACATTAGCCCACCGCGAGGGTCGAACTCGCAGCCTTCAGATGACTCTGACGAATTTACACCCGCCTTAAAAGTCTGACGCTCTGGCCGATTGAGCTAGGCGGGCAACGAGAATAATAGATATATATACCTATATCATTAGAATCGGATTATCTAAGTCGTTGGAATTCAGGTGCTTGTTGAACTCGGCCCGTTTGTTAATGGTTCTGACAAGGCCAGAGCCAAGGCATGGTAATACCAGTAAACTTGACGACAAGGTAAGTTCTTTTGCATTTGCTGGGAGGGAAAATTCACAAATAAATACTGTAGATTGAATATCTCGAGTCGCAGCTGCAGGCATATAAAGCCAGAACATCACTCCTCCAACAAGAGTATCTCTCACTGCTTGACACCGTCTACGAAAGCAAACAGAGGCACAAAGAGGAGTTGGAACAAGAGTGTAATGCGAGGGATCTAGCAGTATCCAGGTTACAGACAGCCAGGGACTGTTTGAAGGCAGTGGAGGCGGAAAGAGACGACTACAAAGAAGTCGTACTCCAACTTATTGAGAGAGGTGCCTTCCTTTGCTGCATATCCCCCGGAGCATACGGACTAATCTGGTAGATTGTACCTAGTCGAGCAAAGTCATGGCGACTTCAAACGCTGGCCTTGCAGCAACCTCCAGCTCTCCAATCATGTGGGTACGTCTGACCTGCAATGGAATTGTTATTCTTTGTGTGACGTTCAGTAACGAACAGACTCGCTACTCAAGCTTCAGGAGCAACCTGTGGATGATGGCAAAAGTGACCTTGCATACTACAATGGACTCTTGCATTCCCTGAAACAGGAACTCTACCTTGAACGACAGGCACACGCACTGACACGCGCGCGAGCCGACATCCTCTCAGCACAGGTCGCGAGCCGTGATGCCGCTTTAGAGGGCTGGGTCCAACATGGTGCTGTAGCCCATCCAACTGGCGGGATTTACATACATGGCAAGGGCAAAGGAAAATCAATTATGCAGCGCGACCTGGATCGTTCAGAAATCTTAGCTTTGCATGAGCAGACGGCTGCACACAACAGGCTTCTGGAGCAAGAGATTTACTCTTCCTTTCAATACGTACGTCTTTACAAATCTGGGTATCCTTATTATTGGATTAACTCAGGTGAAGGGAACGCGACAAACTGCGACTCACCTTGCCCAGCAACCAACATCGCCGCATCTCGCAGCGACATCAGCACCGTCTGGGTCAATCGACTTTTCTAGTCGCGATCTTGCAGAGACAGCGCCTTTATCCAATGCTTCAGATTCAGTTCTATCCTACGGACACGGTGATCGCCCAGTTATAGCTGTACAACGAGGCCGATCCCACATCTCTCCTAGCCCCCACAGAGGTCGCTCACTGTCTCCCTCACATCAACCGCCGTTCAAACCTCGCTCTCGCACACGATCACAGTCTTACCATCGCCCTTCAATGTCGAGATCATCCTCATTAACTGCTTTCCCCCGAGAGAATGTCGTTCAGGACCTCAGCGATCAAGTCCGTCTATTGTCAATACAGATTGACGGTCTCCGTGCCGAGCATGTCGCCCTTGCCCGTTTCATTCAGTCTCAAAGAGAGGATGTGACTGTCACCCCTGATGTACTTCAAAGGGATTACTCATTCAGCTCTTCTGACACAGACGGAGAACAAAGTTTTAACGTGGATGCAGGGACTGATTTTGAACAGGCAACTGCTGTTGACCTCAAAGAACATCTCAATGGACATGAGTCAGGCCATGGCATCGACATCGGTGCCGTTCGAGATGGAGCCGGTGACGGGGACACTACGGATGGTGGGGAACATTCCATGGAAATTGCTACTCCGTTGGTCTCTACCTTGGTCACTTTCCCAATGTCTTCCGAAGGAGACGATGCACCTTATTTTGATGAGATAAGGAAGCCGGGAGCGGAAGAAGATCGAGGTGATGGTGAAATCAAAATGATACGACCACGCAGGAGGACCTCCATATCGCCTCACATACCTCCTTGAAGGACATTAGGGATTTACTCTTACATTCGGGCGGATCAAGCGCTATTAGGAATCAATACTTGTCTTCTGTACAACATCCTCAATTTTCCCTGTATCAGCATTTTTATTGCCTTCAAGATACCTCCTTGCCCTGCTGAGTTTTTCATGCATCTTTGAAGCACTTTGTATTAGCTCTAGAATTACCACAGTTATCCATGTAGCAAGGTACCATCAAATAAACTATGTATTACTGATTTAATGAGCCATTCACAGTTTCACAGAACAAATTTGTTTATACTTAGACATGCATGGCTTAATCTTTGAGACAAGCATATAGCTACTGGCAAGATCAACCAGGTAACTACTTTCTGTCCTTGTCCTTTTAAAAGGAAACCATAGAATATTTTTCCACCACAAATGATTTGTTCCACCCTTGGACTACCAGGGCACAAACTCCTCCTGGCTGTGTAGTATAATGGATCTATGTACAAAAAGAAAGTAGAAAAACTGTATGCTGTTATGTGGTGCCAAGACCCTTGGACACACCAATCTCCTGAAACATATCTAAAAGCTGTTCTCAAAGCCCGGTGGATAACAAGTATTGGCAATCCTTCCCTTCACCCCAACAACATGATCGTCCTTCTCGACGGGATGCCTGGTGTTGACAAACAAACTATTGCACGAACTGTTTTGACAGCCGCATTATCGACAATGACCTTGCCATCGATGCCGCGGCCAGCGTTCCCATCCGCGGCAAGGAACAACTAGGACTGCTGGACATGATACGTACCGTGCTCTCCTTGCGCAGGAATCGGACAAAGATGTCGTCTTTGTATTCGCCGAGTGTCTGTCAAGGAATCTGCCATAGGCCTATCTTGTAGCGTCAAGTTCAAGGGGTCTTGGCGCAGCGGTAGCGCGTATGCTTTGCACCTTCTGTGTCCACTTGCATAAGGTCGTGGGTTCAAGCCCCACAGGCTCCAATTGTTTTTGTGGATTCGTTCGTCGTGGAAAGCGGGTTCCAAGGTGAGAGCTTTTTCGGAGACCTCTGCGCAACAGGCGCATACGCCGGTCCCCTCCTGATCTTTCCCCACTAGAGACTTTGAGCCATTCTCGGCACAGTGCCAGTGTTGGGCCGACGCTGCGCCGAGGGCAGTAGGGCCATGGTTCTAACAATACTACGGAAACTACTCACGATAACAAGTCGTCGAGAAAATTAGGTGCTGATGGATCAGTCCGTGGGTGAGCGACTTGACCTTGTGCCAGTCAAAGAATCAAATGCTTTCCTTCGCCTACCTCGGGAAGAGCCATCACAGACATTTTCTAAGGAGAAGTGTGCAGGACACTATGGGAAGGATGGAAACCAAACATTTGAAAAAAAAAAAAGGAACAACAAATGGAATTAGTGCTTGGAGGGAGAGAAATCTTCTGAGCTTTGACTGAGAGCCACATACATATGTTCTCAGCACAAGCCAGAAATACAAAGAGGGTAAAACGTCTGATTTCCAGATCGTTGTTTCAATATTAGTCGAGTAGGAGCCTCAAGAGCCCAATCGACTCTTCTTGCTGACAAACAACCTACTTTCGGCTTATTTTGCGGCTCGTAGGGACTGATACAAGCCCATTTATTATAGATCGTTGTAAGCTCCGCCTCCTGCAATTTTGTCAATCTGTATCGCTTCATCGAGACCTACAAAAGGCCGTAGGTCGGAGAGACGTAAGACGAGCCAAGCTGCTCTGACTTACCCAAAACCTGTAAAAAAAGTTTTGGGTTCATGCCCATCGCACTTTGTACATCGGAGCCCGAAGTCTTCAATGACTGGAGGGCTGCGCGAATCCCGTGAATCGCCGGAATTGCAGTAACTAAAGGGAAGACTTGGCAAGCGGTCAACTCATGAAATTCTTTAGTAGTAGAATAACCTGACTCACTGACGATCTTCGCTCCGAGAACCTTGGCGTCTTCAACAGTGAAATCCGGGGTTGAACCTCCATGTACCACGTTCAGCAGAACCTATTCATCCTCAGACACGTATGGCGCGAAAGCAATATACAACTCACAGGTGTAGGCGAAAGCTCTTTGATAGTTCGAGCCAGTTCCTCACGACTCCTGACACCCTCAAGGAAAGCAACTTTGCAGAATTACATATCAGAAGCCTGGTAGGACACGGTAAAACTACAAACATACCGTCAGCCCCCGCTTCAATCGCCAATTTTAGCCTGTTCAGTGCCTCGTCCAACCCCAAACTCTGTGCCGCATCCGTTCTGGCGATGAGCACAATGTCGCAACCCGGAAGTCTAGCGCGAGCTGCGACAGCAGCGCGAATGCGAGCGATGAACTCAGAAACAGGAACAATCTGCTTGCCGAGGAGGTGGCCACAACGCTTGGACTGGACCTAAAGTATTAATAGAATCAGTCACATTGAGAGTGAGTGTAGGGAGTCGATCTCACTTGATCTTCGATATGAAGCCCCGCGACCCCCGCGCGTGCAAAGGCGGTGACTGTCCTCGCTACCATGACAGGACCGCCGAAACTGGAGATGACCCTTAAAAATTCTACTATTGACGGATGCTGGGATAATTTGTTCACCCTGTATCGGCATCACATATGAGAGGGGTCTCTGGAGAAAGTCCAGCTATCATTGTCGCATTCTATACTGAGAGTCAGATATATGGTGAGTGGATGAAGTCTTGTCCCAAACGAACCTGGACAAAGTCAGTTTGAGTCGCGATTGCCAAGTCTGGCTGACCGAGCATCGAAGCCGTCGTCGCGGCCCCGCTCATGTACAAGGTCTCAAAACCGGCCTCAAGAGCCAGGCGTGCTGAAATTCCATCGTATACACCGGGTGCAACCTAGCGAGACTCCTGAGGATAATGCCTCATGGCATGAGCAATTGAGACAGACACATACAACTGTGCTACCAGACTTTAGCTGATGGCGGAGGCGTGTGCTAGCGTTCATCTTGGTAGGCAAATGCTTGAAATCCTGAGAAATATAAACATCTATGGTCGATCATCACATGGTCGGCAGGAATTCAAGGTGAACCCTCGAAACTAGTATATCTTTAGAAGCTGGCACTCACGGTCCGTATGCACTCACCCAGGCATTTGGAATTACCAAGTTTGTCCAAAAGGCGCGAGTCAAAGTCAGTTAACAGAATGATGAGACCGGTATCAAATTGAAAGCTTGCCAAGATAAAAACACCTACTGGACGGTTCACGACAATCCAGGAATGCAGGTAAAACAAGAGAGATAGTACAAGACAAGGCGATGCATAATATTTGTATTTGCATGAAACATATGTATAGCACATAGTATCGGTATGCAATATGTAGGGTGTCGTTGTCTCCCCCCTAGAGACTGTGAGCCGTTTTATACGCGGATCGGATTGCGCTATTTCGTTTTCTTTCGCGTCCTCTCTCTCGTCATCTTCCTTGACCTCGCCGCTAGCCGCAGAGGCAACAGAATTTCGGATTTCAAACTTGTGTGAAATGAGGTCAATGAGAGGGGAAAGAGCTGATTGACGTTCAAGCCAGAAGAATGGTTGGAAGCGAAGATGGTCAGGCACTAGTGTTGAAAGGGAGTTAACGACTATCTTCACGAGGAGGGATACCAATAAATGGATGAAGGATGAAAAGCTCGAAGAGTCAACTGTATTTGAGGTTCGGACGGTTCCGAATCTGTTTTCTCGAGCCCCACAATGCACTCAACACCATGGACTAGAAAAGTAGCGCCCTCTTCTCTTCCTTCAGACCGTCTACGCCCGAAGCCTTCACCGGCACCTTCCCGTTCAAAAAGCTCTCAATCTAATCAGGAACCTGCGCCACCCCAAAGCAAAGCGTTGCGTATACTCAACGGGTTGCGTACCTCTCTTCAAGATCCTTCAACAAGTACAACACCAGATCCGACTGGAGGGTGCTTCTGTCAAGGTGCGTGGCTGTAGATGGTTACGAACCGCAGCGCCGTTTAGTTACATTCATTAGCGCGTACACATCCTCTTTCTCAATATGTACCGATATGTACCTCCTGCGCGCTGCCTCTCTGTGACCTTGCAGCACCAGCGCACCTCTGTCCCTCGTGCAAAGAGCCCCTCCTTACTCCAATTCAACGAAGTACTCTAATTACGCGCATCGAGACAGAGATCGCCGATACAATTCTCAAAGAACAACTCGCTTGCGAACGTGCAGAGGAAGAACGTCGCGCAGCCGCAGGTGCCTTCCCAAGCCTTCAAGGCTCCGGCTCTTCGTACCCTTCACTACAATCCTCGTCCCATCGTCTGCCACCACCTCCTGAACCTCAAACGTACAAAGTCCTCTCACTCGGCTCAAAGGCAAAGAGAACCACGTTAACGACAACGACGATAAGACCGAAAGCATCTGTTACACCCTCTCCTCAAGACTCACGACCGACATCCCCCCAGCCCATTCGTCAACCACGACCTCACGCCAGTTCTGATAAGAGAAAAGGGAAAGCGCGAGTGGATCCTGCGCGGCTTTGGGCAAATCTTAATGGAGACACTCCGATATACATACCTCCTGTGCTGTCTATCGATGAAGTGGACGCCGACTCGGAAGAAAGAGCCGGAACGCGAAAGCGGAGAAGACGAAAAGGGAAAGGAAAGGAGAAAGGAACGGAAGAAGGAAGCGAAGGCAAGGAGAATATGCAGGCGGGATTGAGTGGTGTTGGAACGTCCAAGAGCTAAAATGTACGTCACAACTGATCATTTATTGCTCTGCTTCGACTTTGTTTTCTTTAGTGCACAATGACATTTGAACCTGTAATAGATTATATCCTGCATACGTTCTTGCCAAAGACTGCGAAATTTTATGTCGGAATTTGTACCGGATTCGCCATGCTACACTGGACCTCCGGCCTAGACTGATCACCAGGTGGTGTGCACACAAAACGACACATGAAGAAGGCCAACGTCCGAATGTTTGAGGTTTGAGACCATGGTTATGCGACGAATCACTCGCCAAAGGGGAACAACTTTATGAGAAAATTAGGCTCAGCTCCCTGACATGCAACGGCTTATCAGGTTTCCTTGGGCATGTCTCGCCAATACAAGGAAGAACAATCTTCGTTTTAATGTCCCTAATTAGGAAGCAAGAAACGCAGAGTTGCAGACGACACGCCGAACGATGAAGAGACCCGCATAGCAGAGATGCTATATGAATAGGCTCAGTCGTCGTCGTCGTTATCGCATCGCGCAGAAAGTGATGTGGTCGCTTCTTGAGTTTATTCTACGTCTGACCAAGTACAAACAGCTGGAGACCTGTCGCTTTAATTCGTGAAAGCTGTGTTACGGCACATTTCGCTGTGTTACAATCCCGGGACATACACGCCATCTACACTAAGATCTTTTGCTAATTTTGTTTGCCGCTATAGAACGCATTTGTTTCAAGGATACAAGTAAAATAACTGCTTTACGTAGTCCAGGTAGCAAAAGCATGCATACCAGCTTCTCTGACTCAACTATTAATTATAGCACAGGGTGAGTTTTGGTACATAATTCACGTGTAAATCACTGAGAGCCAGAAACTTCCTCGCATGTTTCATGCTCATGAATCACAACATAGGTGAGCTAAGATGTCTTTTATCGGTTTACGATTCATATACGAGCAGAGGTCGAAGTAACGGGTGACAGTGCCGCTTAGTCGTCTTGGCATCGATATTTGGGAGGACTCCAGCAGTATCATCAGTCCTGCAGGATGATCCCTGTGTCGTGCGCAGGCACTCAGTTTAATGTAAAGTAACAGTGGTTTAATCAGGAATCAGAGATTTGAAGTTTGGGAAGATGATTATATAATGAGGAAAAAGAAAAAACACAAACAACCAGGATGTACGGTTATAGCCCACCGCGAGGGTCGAACTCGCAGCCTTCAGATGCCCAACCAACAAACTTAAGAGTCTGACGCTCTATCCGATTGAGCTAGGCGGGCGGTTGTTATCGTTGCCAAGGAAAACAATTGATATGTTTTGCAGAAAGCCAGTGTATAACTCAATTGTATACCACTGAACTCAAGATGACATCCTTACCATGAAAAATGGCGAGGGAGTGTGGAGTCTGCAACTTGGCCTGTGGAGGATGGGTTTTTCTATTTCAGACCAATCAGTGGGTGTTAAATCATTACTCCAATAACTGAAATGGATGTATTTCAATTCAAGTGTTGTCCTTATGACCTAATACTTCCTCATTCTATGCATTTGTAATGTGGGTGTTGCCCACAACACCACTTGCAGATGTGATTTCAGTAACAGCTGATGGTATTAAATGAGCAGCCTTTTGTAATTGTTATCTGTGTGTCTAAATGGAAATGCTGTAAGCCAGGCTTACCCCAAAAGATGGAGGCCATCAATATTAGTACCAGCTAATCAAATACTGTTATGCCAGTCTTGGACCTGTGACCAATGGAGGTAGTAAAAACAAAGTTCTAATATACCTCTAAATGCTGAAATAAGCATCATCAAAAACAGCGGACAAAAAAATCTACCTCAAGAAGCACATGCCAGAATCATCCAATATGCCAGTATGAAGGCCCAAGCAAAGCTGCAGGAACTGAAGGAATGAAAAGCATCACAAACATCATCCCCAGTCAAAAGTCAGGTTATTAGCAAACATTTATACACACTACAACATATTTGATGTAGAATAATGCATCTAAATAGCCAAATGCTGAATTAATATCTGTATGGTCATTGCAACATATTATTTTGATTTATGCAACATTACAAATGCCAAAAAATGCATGAAAATGAGATGACATTCAATAAACTACTGGTACATGATATTCATTGCCATTATTGTTGCTAGGCTACCCCCCTCATGTCATTGTCACGGCCCCTTATACTTGTCCTTAAAAATCATCAGGATTAATCACAGAAGCCACCACTTATGTGCAATTGCAGCCAAACCCACAAAACCATCACCCCATGAGTGAACTTGGCATTACTTCCATATCGATCATTGTCATCAATCCATTGAAAATCACATGTTACAAACCTTGGGACCATTGTCAACCTCTCTGCAGCAAGCTTTGTAGCACTGGCAAGTTTCTTCTAGTACAGAAAACATTCAAGTCAGAATCCAAGGCTTGAGAGGATGTTGAATGAACAACTTACTGCATTCTTTGCCTGAATTTCAAAATCCTACAAAACAAGGACACAAAAATCTGACAAGTCAAAACATTTGTAAGACACTAGTACATAGATCCTGCATGAATGCAGTGAGATAAACTTGAAGTAGAGCTCATGAGCCAATACTTCAAAGCAAAATTCCTAGAAAACTGTCAGATTTGCTCATTGATAGCGTCTTTCCAGCTAGGTTGAGTTGCACCTGCTGAGATATTCTGAATCAAAACTAACAGGGATGATGCATGAAGTGGAGGTGGTACAAAGACAGGCAGTGGCAGGGGCATATATGAGGTGTAACAGTGCAGGAATTGGTGGTGCTGCAAGAATTGTGTGAGGCAAGCCAAGGCTGGTGGTGGTGGTGGTGTGGCTTGAGGCATTGTTGCTGGTGCAGGTCTTGTTGCTGGTGCAGGTATCGTTGCTGATGCAGGTATCATTGCTGTTGTGGGTATTGTTGTTGGTGTGGGTATTGTTGTAGGTATTGTTGCTGGTGTGGGACCTGCATATTGTTCTTGCTGCTCCAAGAAATTGACAAAAGACTCATCTTGTGCTTGTTGCAGTTCAGCTCAATAGTGAGCAGCTGGTTGCATGGAGTGTATAGCTGCATAAATACCACATATAGGTGCTAGTAGGTGTCAGGTACCGCTGACCTCGGGGGCTTCTTCCAAAGCAAGGGCTTACAAAGGCAGACTAGATGTAGCTAGATACACGCACGCTAGTGCCAGAGAGTGAAGTCTGGGACGAAAGGGAGTGGTTCTCCGGGATGGTCCAGGATGGTCCGGGGTGGTCCGGGGTGGCGAAAGGGTTTTACGGTGTGAAACAAGTGTCCGGGACGAAGTATACGAGTCCCGGGATACGATGAAGGTTTTAACAAAGACGAATGGCAAGTTAAACTGAATAGGACTTTGGGAGCGAGTGCTGGGACTAGGCAAGACGATGCGAACGGGGATCCTGTGAGGTCCGGTACGATAACCGGGGAAACAAAGTGAAACCGGAGGTGAAGACGAGCATTGAACTAAAGTGGAATGGTAACGAGGTCGAGAGGAAACGATAACTGGGTATGAGGCCAGTGCGGGCCGAGAGTCGATAAGTCGAGGCGAGGGGTCCAAGACGAGACGAAAGAGACAAAAGTTCAAACAAAAACAAGGGAGTTGGTGAGACAAATTCAGAGGGACTTAACGATTCAAGGTTTCAAGTCGACGATTCCGGGGTCAAGGTCACGAGTTCACTGGATATGAGGCAAACGATGCAAGGTTACGAAGCAGAAGTTCACAATGTGCAGAGTCAGATAATTCGATAGTGTCAATCAGTCAGCAGTCGATGGGTTATTTCCAGGTAATGTGTGCAATAT